AATTGCCATCCCTACCCAAATGGTGCTAATAATTCCATTGTTAGTGTAAAATGTGGAAAATGACACAAGTGCTCATCTTATTATAGCTTTGCACAACAAATAATAGACCAGCAAATGGACATAACGATCAACTTATCTTTTTCACTGTTTTCTTTAGAAAAGATTATAACTTGATAGGATGCACTTGAATTTCAACACCTGTTACATAGAGGTATGTGCATCTATCGGTCCCTTCGTAATTTGGTTTGCTCTAACCATTTTTATCTCTTTTACTAAATTACTATCCATACGCAGTCATCTTCAACGGGTTATCGGTTGAAGAGGGTCAGGTATACAAGAGAATCCAATACTGCCAATACTGCAAGATTTGGATTTAAAAAAAAAAAAAGCAAAAAAAAAGAAAAAAAAGTAGAGGAGAAGAAGAAGGTTTGAAATCTTATTGTCTCTAGAAAATAAATTCCAAAGTATAACAAGTAGAGCATTAACAACATTCAAGAGAAGAAGTATCCAATACTGACAGAACCATTGAATGTTTGAAATCTTATTGTCTCCACTAGAAAAAGGTTTGAAATCTGCTTTTGTCATTATTTCTACTTGTAACTACCAATTTATAAATAAACAAAATCCATCCTTGTATGTACGTAACAAAATAAAAAAATTCGAAATGAAAGAACCAGTAGATTCCTTTCTGCAGCTTTCTATTTCTTAAAACCACTGAATGTTATTATCCAATATTGATGATAATTAGATCAACTACGTTAATATAGAAAAAAAAAGCCCAGAAACTAACGTGGAAAAGAAAAGTAAACTTTACTGAAATAACCAAAAAAACCCAACATCCGATGAAGAAAAATTAGGAATCACATTTTAAGAAGTTCAAATCTTTGTTTCATACAAAGCGGCGTACGTACACTTTATTTCAACCCAAATGACAAAACATACGATGAAAGGTAAAACAATAATAATTAATAAGCAACATCAATATACTTAATATACATTGCCGCCAATCCCAAGATATAGCGTGCATACTTAGGTAAACCTTTTTTAAGTAGTATTATATCTTCTGGAGTCGCTCATATGAATCATCCTGTGAAGAATCAAGACAGTGTCCGTGCACATCTTTGGATTGTGACAACTTCCATAAAAAATGTGGCACAGAATTCATGGAGATCACAGAATTTGATAAGCGTGGCCGCCAAATTGGATTTTGATTCGAAGCAGCATGCCTGTCAGTTAAAATGGCAATCTCAAGGTGAGTGTGATTAGCACGATCACAAGGGTTTATATCATGGCCATGGTGGCTCACTGAAAACTTGATGGTGGCACCAATGAGGAGGAGGATATTTGATTCCTATCTCCCCAGTTGAGGGGACTAGCTTTGGGAGCGGAGTGGAGGGTTATCATTTCATGGTTCAGGGCCCGTTGGTGGTGCAGTCAATTTTGTGTGTGAACTTCTTAAAAATGAGCACCTTTTCTCTAAATCACAGATTTTCTTTCATGAATCCGGTCCGGAGATGTCACTTTCGCAGGTCATGTCGGTGGAACTCGTGAGCTGAGCAAGTTGGCGGTCAATCATTTGGAGGCCGAAAATTCCACCTTTTCAATTATTTGCATCATTGCTAAATGCTGCTGATATGGCGGCCAAATCTTGCAAGTAAAACTTTCTTGGACATGATTCCTCCTCTATTTTAACATGTCTATTGTTCCATTTCCATTCCTTAAGGTGTACGAACCATGAGAAGCTGTGGGAGTGTCTTTTCTGCTCCTTTGAATGGAATTCTCTCTCTCTCTCTCTCCCCTCCCCCCCCCCCTCTCTATCTTTTGAGCAAAAATCCTTTTCCATTGATAGACAAATCAGTTTTGCACAAGAGAGATGGTTCTCAAATTTACATCATGGGCTACCTATCATCACTATACATTTCAAGCAAAAGTACCCCAAAAAAAATAAATGAAGAATGAGATATTAAGCAAAACATTTGCGCGACAATCATAAGTCCTAACTGTACAGTTAGATTCTAACAAGGTCAGTGTATAAGTGTCATATCATCTAAATTTAAAATTGAACATCAAATTCTGTACATTTGACATTCATCTAAATCAATTAATACATATACAGTTAGTGCATAAAAGATTTATCCATTTTTTTATTGCAAGTAACGACACAATTTCTTGTGTACTATGAATACCGACTTCAAAATCTAGAGGTACTTGGTATAAGACGAAGTCAGCTATCAAGCATTGTTTCATTAATTTTAAAAAAAATTAACTGCCAAAAAATAGTTATCTCTAATCCTGGCAAACATCATAGGAAATCGTGTAGTAGTGATCAATATAAAGCCTTTTTGAGCTGTTAAGGAACACGATAAAGGTTCTCCAGCTGCTAAACAGTTCTCTTTTTGGTTGGAAAAGATGTTATAAATTTTACTCGGGTAAAGTTTTTAAAACTGAAATAGGTAAATTACAAAATAATTTGTTGATATTTCATAACAAACATTTTAGCGTGGATATTTCATAACAAATACTAGTAGTCATCTCTATGATTTAACCGACATGGGGTGATTGATTTCGGTTGGCTTTGTATACACTAAAAGAAAAGACATCAAATTTGTCAAAAAAAAGAAGAAGAAAAGACATCAAAGATATAGTATAATAATTTCAGAAAAATGTCTTTTCATAGGGAAACATAACAAAAATGTAGAACATGCTGTTACGTGAGAAGATGCCATTATCTTTATCACGATTCACGAGGCATTATCCACAAATTAATAATGATTAGTCTTTTTCCAATTCTGAGAGAACTCAGATTTTTAGCAAATAAACCTAATTCCCCGGACAACCTTCAAAAACCAGCAACTTGTGAAGGCGTCCAGGGGACTTATCTACCCAAACTCCAACCCTCCCATTGTCGATGTGGGATAGAACACCCCACAGGGACCCGCTACTATAATAATGATTAGTCGATACTCCTAATCGCAAACAAGAAGGTTTTAGACCACCCGTGTTCTTGTGATAGATAGCCAGCCACGGTTTCTTGTTTTATCTCTTTCCATTCGGCGATACCTTAGATGTACGTCGAGAACTGAGAATGAAAGTTTCACAATGAACTTTAAAATTGCATTTCTTTCAACTTAAATACTATCAGCAAATCTTATACAAATTGATAGTGTATATATTGTTATTATTGGATGTATAACACATGAGTAAAATTTGAATTTTAAATTTAAATTCAGATGAATTATTATGCATCAATTGGTGATAGTGTATATATTGTCAATATATAAAAGATTAATCCAAATACTATATCCTTTAAATGCTTTTAAATGACATGAGAGAGTAGCGGATCAAATTGTAGGTGTAAATGTCATAGTTTTCATTTCACAACACGAAAGATAAAGTCTCGTTTGGATTTTTGGATTGTTGTTGTTTTTTAAAAAATTATTTTTTGTGAATACATTTTTCAATCAATTTTTTTAATACATCAAATCATTATAGTATCCTTTTATATAAAAAAATTCTAAAAGAAAATTCATATGGGGCCTAAAAAGTTTGAATAATAGGAGAAAATGGAAAGAACTAAATTCAGTGTCAAACGTGTTGATGAAGGTCGTATAATTTATTGCAAAAAAAAAAAAAAAGAAAAGGAACACGAAGAAGGATAAAAAAATTTTGGATATAAGTTTTGAACTCGGGCTCAGAAGGTAATGGGCAGCAAAAAAATTTAAGAGTTGAATAATGGACCATCTGAAAAGAAGTCTACCTACACTGCAGTTGATCTAACCTCACAACAAATGGGCTTTATGTTCTAGTTTTCTAAATGGTCCTTACAAAGTAACCTGGATGTTAATGTTTGGAAACCCGTTTGTGAAAGGATAGACCTCTTGAGGCAAGCCTCATTGGATTGGGCCAATAATAGGGAAGCCTTGAAAGAGTTTTTTTTCTTTTTTTTTACCATTATTCGCCGTATATGGACTCATTTGTCCAGTAATTGGCTTAAGTTTGGATGTTTTCAATACAAGTAAACTTTTTATACACTGAATTTGTATATACTAGCAAATCTAAGTACACATCTCTCATTTGCAAAATTTGATGTCCAAATTCAACTTGAAGTGATGTCGCATTCATCTAGACGTCGATGTATGTTAAATAAAGTGATGATCCCACATTGAAAAGTTTTGTAAAAGATGAAAAAGTTTATCGAAGTTTACACATCAATTCAAATAAATTGGAATGGTGGAAAATTATGGAGGGGAACTTCAAAATTTTCACTTGCATTTGTGAGAGTTTCTTTATATTGTTGTGCAGAAATTCTAATTCGACATTGTAATCTCTAAAGGGAATTGTCACAAACCTTCTAATAAAATAGTGCGGACAATTTTTTTTTTTTAAGAAAAATAAATCTATTCAAGCCAAAATCATAGTTGAAGTTAATTTTTTTCCCTTAACAATGTATATAATGTGGGTAGAAAAGATTAATTTCTTTAAATAGTCTAAAACTAACACCTCCCATGCTCCTTGGAACACCTCTTGTTTTCCTTTTGAGTGTTGGGCCTTGGGACAAATAGGAACAAATATTTGTATTGGAGGAGTTTCACTCGTACACTAATCCCCCTATTTATACATCTTTTGTATTGACCATGGTAGAGTGGACAAGTTCCCCAAAATGATTATTGTATCTCACTAAAATTCATTTATCTACTACTCCATTTTTCACTTACCGAGAAAAAAAAATACTTATTGGTTCACAAAAAGGTCAAAAAGAATAAAAGAGAAGAAAATAAAAAGTCATATGCAATTACTTCTAATTTTTTTCCATTTATGTGATAAAAATTTAGCCATGAAAACCACAAGATTTTATTTTAAATTTTTTTTGGGACAAGTGAAGTGACTAATTGAAAATCCAAATGCGTGAAATAAATCTTGAAATGGACATGGGAGTTGGGAGTAAAAGAAAGGGATTTAGGCGGACAAAATGGTAATTTGAACTTACAGTTAAATCTTGCCCTCTGCTCTCCAATCTCCAATCTCCAATCTCCAATGCTGAGCTACAAAGTAAAAAGTAACACTCCTAACGTAGTGACGACAGAAGACTTTGGAGACGAGGATTGAAGCCATGGCGCCAGCGGCAACAGCTCCGATCAGCCGCTGCGTGCTCATCGTAATTCTCATATTCTCCCTGCTGATCCAGCCGTCGATCTCCATATACTGCGACGAGGACGACTGCTACGATCTCCTCGGGTAACTATTATGATTTTCCCCAAGGTTCTTTCCTCTAAATTTCCCTGCATTTTTTAACTTAACTTTTGTAAACTTCGTGTGATTGCTAGGGTTCCTCAAAATGCCAATGCCTCCGAAATAAAGAAGGCTTACTATAGGCTCTCACTCAAACAGTAAGTTCTTCTTCTTCTTCTTCTTCTATTGTCTTGTAATATGTATTTATTTCTGCACTTTTAATCTGAAGTCGTTAATTAATTGGTTTTTTTTTGGTGTTTTGTATTTAGTCATCCGGATAAAAATCCTGATCCGGAATCAAGGAAAATTTTTGTGAAAATAGCAAATGCGTATGAGGTAATTCTTTTACATAATTAGCTTTTAAAGTTTGATGAAGATTAATTGGTTACTTAATTATGTGTAATGTATTGTACTCAATACCGAGTTATATGTATCTAATTTTCAGTTAGTGAGTTCTAATTCAGCTTAAGTTTGTCGAACTTCTAAGTCCATGCTTAAAAGAAATTATTTTCAATATCTAAGGAATAAAGAAACAAAAAAAAAATTGTTATTAAGGTTGCTGTGGCTTGTGGCTTGTGGCTATTTTGATGAGAACAATAAATAAGTGTACACATATATAATTGTGGATGATTGCGATAAGACTTTTTGTAGACATTGATAATGATCGTTTTATGTGCAGATTTTGAAAGATGAAGCAACAAGGGAACAGTATGATTATGCAATTGCACATCCAGAGGAGGTTTGTTTTGTTTTCTTAGACCTCTGTTTTTTGCTGTGAATTCTGTATTTGTCAGTGATTCTGCTTGTAAATTTGTGCTCTTTTATCATTTCAAATTAGAGGCTTATGATTTACATCTCAAAGTATCAACTTAAACTTGTTCCCTGTGTACATATTTTAGAATGAGAAGTTAAAATGTGCCTAGGAGGCGAGATGTAAACTTTAGCTTTCTGATGCATATTATGTCAATTTCAGGATGTGATTATCATTTGCATCTCTCCCACATGTCTCTCAGGCGTTCAATCACCTCTAGCCCAGTATGCTTTGTTTACCTTCCCTGTGTCCCCCATCTTTGAGAAATAGGCTTGACATGTTCTTTGTATTTAACATGACATGGCATCAAATTGTTTGGTCGTTAAGTGTACTACACGGCCATGTATGGTTGAGTTACTTCTTGGTAAATTTGTTACTTCCCCTGGCCAGTTGGTTACTGTAAACCACACTTCCAAACATAGTTAATTTGCTTGTTTTTGTGGACAATTCTTTTTATCATATGCCAGCTATTTGATTCACTGGTCCTGACATGTTGTTTACCAACATTTGATTCATTCATCCAAACATGTTGTTAACTAGTTCAATGCTTGGTATTCCTTCCTTAGGTCTTTTATAATACAGCTAGGTACTACCGGGCTTATTACGGTCACAAAACAGTGAGACCCTTCTCCATTTTTTCCCTCTTATTTTTAATGTTTTACTTAAATAAATTTGATTTTTTCCTAACAGATAACTATAATTTCCGTCATCACACATTTCACGTGGCCAATCAGTAAATCATTTTACTCGAGTCTTTCTTGTATATATGTTGACTGTTCCTCCTTCCTCTATTATAGGATCCTCGTGCTGTCATTGTGGGTCTTCTATTGGTGCTTTCTGCATTTCAATATCTAAACCAGTGGACAAGGTATAAGCAGGTAAGTGGATGTATCAAATGTTGCATCCATCTGATACTATTGAGGTTAAAGACTCAGTGTTTTCTTATTTAATTTTCAGAGAAAAAAAATGCTAAGCTTGATTCCGGAAGGTGTATGTTTCGAGATGTTTTTATCCTATGATCTGTTTTATTATGGCTTATATACCTGTAAACCACTTGGTTTCTTCAGGTCTTGTAATTAAAATCAACTGTTAGTGAGATGACACTGCAATAGATACAAACAATATCATACATATGTCTGCTTACATCAGATCACCACCGATTAACTATAGAATATTTTATGCTTTTTTCCACAGAATTTCTACTTTGGAGGTTATTTTTCCCCTTGTGTTGCCTTTGTCGTTTTTGTCTAGTGCTTTATAATGCTGATCTACCTACTGGAACATTGGTTCTTCTACGACCCTGATAATTGTGGTTCCATTGACTTTCCTATGACATTTTCACTTGGTTGTTCTCCTGCAGGCTGTTGACATGGTCAAGAGAACACCAGCTTTCAAAAATAAGCTGAAGGCTTTGGAACTTGAACGCACAGGTGGAATGACAATTAGAAAGAAGAGTAACAAGCAAATAAACAAGTATGAAATTAGTTCAATTTTTATTACTATTATATTTCTTCCCTCTGGTCCTTTTATTTGAGCCTTTTCTTTGGGGGGAGAGTGGTTTGGTGTCCAACAGAGGAGCGGAGAGAAAATGGGATGGAAGTACACTGGGTCCATAATGTACTGTTCTTTGGCTTTGGCTTCTTAATTGTTGTATTGATTTATATGATTACTTCTTTTATTCTGGAACCAATATTCAAAATCTTGCAGTTCATTTAGTGTAATTATGCTTATGTGGCAGGAAAATGGAAGAAGACCTCAGCAACGAGCTTGAACTGCAGATTAAAGGGGCTGAAAAGCCATCTGTCTGGGGACTTCTTGGCATTCGTTTCATTCTTCTTCCATATACTATTGGGAAAGTATGCATATCCAGAAACTATTTTCCGTTCAAATTTAATACCAATGTATGAGATTTTGATTAGCCCAAGTTATTTTTCAGAAGCTAGTGTCATGCAGGCTTGAACCTAGAATCTTGAATTTGGCTATGTACAAGAAAACTACTGATTAGCTTTACGTCCACAGCTGCTGTTGTGGCATGGATGTTGGTTTTGGAGGTACAACGTCAAACGATCTCCTTATTCATGGGAAGATGCCTCCTATTTGACACAAAGATCCTTGGGCGTGCCGCCCGATTCATGGACATTCATTGGTAACTACATATCATCTCACTGACAGTTATAGGAAGACTTTATTATTTGGATATATCTTGCACCAGACCCACTGTTATATACCCTTTTTTCTTTTTCTTTTTTAATTTTTTGAGCTACTGTTATAGATGTAGAGAGTTGAGATGTTTCAGCACCAATGGTGATTACTGTTGCCCGCATAGAATGACCTTGGAAATGCTTCTGTATTTCAAATGCTTGTTTGAAACATTTTCTGTTGTGCCGAGATTTTTGTAACATTTTTGGGCAGAATGCCAATCAAAGAATTTGGGAATGTAACTAGGGGCCAATTTTTACAGTAACACTTCTTTGTGAATTTCATAATTCTTGGGTAATCCTAAAGTAGTTTGTTGGTGTGGTATACAGATGAATCAACAAAGGAAGATCTTGTACAGCGACGTCTATGGGAGAAATCCAATTTGCAAAGCTACCTTGCTGAGATGCGGAAAGAATCAAAGCGCAGAAGATGACAAATCTCAGATTGCATCCACGATGGAAGGCAGCAGGCAGTAGGCAGGACTATTTCACGCTGACAATTTTGGAGGAGTTTTTCCCATCAATCGGGGAAATATCTAATAGTACAAGAATACCATACTCAAGTTAACACTTTTATTGGTCAAACCATAGAAGAGGATTCTTTTCGACGGTGGGATACATTTTGTTGTAGAAAATAGGCCAGGTTCCTGTTGATGTTTCGCGGTGTCATTAGTGTAATTGTGAGCAACTTCTGCTTAATGCTGGAACCTGTTGTGGTGATGTGACACTACGCAGTTCATAATAACCTGTTGTGTTTAACAATTCGATTTGGCACTTAAAATTTAATGGTTCAGATTTTAATATATTCAGAGAGAGAGGTGCATGATTACAAAGATATAGAATGTCTTAATTGAGTGATTCTGAATTGTTTAGATAAAATTTATTTAAAATAATAAGTGATAAGTTGTTCACTTATTATTTAATGCGAAATAACAGTAAATTGGCAGACATGCACCCGACGCACCCTAACTCTTACCATCCGGCACTTTTAAGCCTAAAGACTTCTTTTTTTCTTTTTTGTCGCAACGGTAGAATTCCTTCTAATCTAACCTAATCTATAGAGAAGGGGATCTTCCATCTCACTAAGACTGGTGGTGACTATCGGGCCAAAGGCTTAGTGGCTAAGTCTAAGGGTTCGTTTGGGAGTGGAGGATTTGGACAGAAGAGAAAGGTAAAGAAGAGAAAGTTAAGTTTTTCTTCATTTTTTAGTTTTTAGTAGAAAAGAAAAGAAGGGAAATGGTAGGATTTAAGAGGATGAATAGTAGGCAAAATTTTTCCTCCAAATTGGAGAGAAATGGAGAGAAAGTTGGAGGAAATTTGTGAAAATTTTTTAAAATCTCTATTTTATCCTTAAAAATGTGTTGAACAAATATTTAATGACTTTCATATCCAAAATCATTCCACTAATTCCCAAACAACATAACAATCCCTTCTCTTCTCTTCTCTTATAACTTTAGTTTTCCCTTCTTCTCTTTTCTATCCTAAACTCCCAAACTTAGCCTAAAGGCTTCCTTGACTCAGCATAATTTATGCTTTCAAAATTGCATACATCCTGCTCCAACTTTTTTCACCTTTGGATCATTTGAAGGGTTAGAGGCCCATTACACACTTAACTAAAAGTAGGGGTTTACTAAAACATGGCAGCATAGATTTGCATATGCCAGCGGTGAGCATCCCACACCACAGAGGTTTTTGGTTCGATTCATTTCTTGAGTCCTCCCATTTTTCCTTTGAAGAAAAAATGAAAAAAGGTCTGAATTTTTTTTCCTTTGTTTTTAATTAAAAAAAAAAAAGAAAATCTCTTACGTGGGTTGTCAACTAAACTAACTCCTCGCGCGAAGTTGTCTTGGCGGCGGCGACGACCACCACCACCAGCGAACGCTTCCTTCAACCTTAAAACCCACCAACAAAAACCTTCCACATTTGCTGCACTTTCACTTTTTTCTCTCCAGAGTAAAACAAATTAAGACTATCCTATCACACCTCAGTGACAAACCCGGCTCTGATTCCAGATTTCTCTCATCCTCTGGACGTTAATTCAAGAATGAGTATATCCAACTCTCCTCGGGTAAAATTTCCTTGAACATTTGCAAAGATGATTTCTTTCTTAAGTAACATGTTGCCAATTCTCTGCTGTATTGGGTTGACTATGATAATGTACTTGTTTGTCTTTCCACGTTTTTGGGTTATGGAAGGTGGGATTTCTGCAGCCATTGAACAAAGTAGGGCAAGAAGAGAGCTCAATTCCCAAAATATTACTATCTAAAGGGCTCAATGTTGTTGGCCGGAATTGCATTCCAGTCACTGATAAACGCCTCAGCCGGAAGCATCTCAGCATTAATGTTGCCTCCGATGGCTCTAGCGAAGTCTCTGTGGTAAACCTACTTACACGTTCTCATTCATACACACATGGTTGTTATTTCTTTGATTTTTGGACTATGTATGATGACTATTGACGTTTTTGCTATGCTATGAAACTAAGCACATTATGCATTTTTCTGGCAATGTACATCGATAAGAAATCACCTAATGTTATCTACTAAGAGCCTCGAGGTTTTTATGATGAATGTTGCTAAGTTGGGGAAAAAAAAGTAGAGTTTAAAGTTAAGGAATAAATGAAGTAAAAAGTAGAATAAAAGCTGGAGAACCTGTTGCTGGAATGACAGCCAGGATTATTGCTCTCAATTTCTGAAATAAACAGTTGGGTGGACCATTCAGGCCTAGAAAGAGTTTTGCAAGAGGGAAGATGTGGTTTTATTTCTTTACATTTTGAAAATAAATGGATGACAGAGTTAAAGGATGATAGATTGTTGACCAGATAAGTAATGAAAAGTTTTACAAGTTATAATTTTTTTTCAGTTGTTTATATTTCAATTTACTATATTGACTTTTGCAAATAAATTTAAACTTGAAATATTGTTAGCAGAAGGTTACACTAAAGAAGCTTTAAGATTTTGATGGGGTTTTGGTTGTAAGGGCAACAATAGAAAAAAAAAAACTGTTGGAACAAAATCAAATTTTGGGGAACTTGGAGGGTAACATTTTTGAACTCGCAAGACTATGTTGTTCCACCCAGGGACATACACGTTCATAAGTCTCTCTACGATATGAAATTTGTTCATCTAACCTATGATGTCTTGTTTTCTTCAACTTTTGTATTCTTTTTCTTCCATTCTGAGTAACTAAATTGTAGGAAGGAACAAACCCTGTTGTTCTAAGAACTAAGGGTGAAAGGAAGAAGCTTTTATCTGGAGAGAAATGGAAAATTGAGGATGGTGATATTATAGAGTTGATACCTGGCCACTACTTTTTGAAGTATGTAGCTTCTGGTGGTGAGAAAAATGAAAAGTTAATGAGTAATAAGCAGAAAAGGTGTTGGGATGAAGAAAGTAGTTATAGCAAAGACAGGGTTCGTAATAAGAAGACAATCAACGGTGAATCTGAATTGGAACCTCTGGCTGAACAATCAAAAAAGGTACTTTTTGTCCTCCATTTCAGGTTGGTTTTGCATTTTTATATATAATGTATGCAATGTTATTTAGTAGAAAATATTACTTGCGGAGAAACTTTCAGTTTTTATGCCTCAATTGTTTTTCTTTCTCGTCAGAAACGGTTTGAGAATAATGGCAAGGAAACAGATAAATCTTCGGAGGGTATTCGTCAATTTAATGTTCCTAATTCTAAGTTACCGTCAACTTTTCGATTATTACGGGTGCAAGGGCTGCCAGCATGGGCTAATACTAACACGGTCTCAATCAATGACGTGATTCAGGTAAGTGAAAACCAGTTATGTTTAGAATTTTGATATTTGAGGGCATGTGCCTGTTAGTAAGCTCTGCTAGGTAATTAACCGCACGCTGCTAAGAGCAATATAGGATATGAGATGTGGTTTATTGCTTTGTTTTTTAGTATCATGTAGCCTTTTGCTTTCCCTTCAATCTGAAACAAGAAGACAGGGAGGGAGTGGAAAATATGGATGAAGACTACTTAGAGAGATCCTTCAGGCTGAATAACAATGCTTTTAGGTTAGAAAATTGTAAGAGCAGATCTAAGTTTGCTGAAGTAATAGTAAGCTTGGAAGCTGATGGGCATTCTTTCTCAAATAAGCACCTTACACATTGTTCTGTTTTGCAGGGAAATGTTATTCTTGCTATACTTTCTAATTACATGGTGGACATCGATTGGCTACTTTCTGGCAAGTTCTATTTGCACTAGTTGTAAATCTCACTCCGTTAGTGGCGTTTTAACTGACTTGCTTTCTCGTTCAAGGGATCTTTGATATTTCTGGGAACTCTTTTAATTCTACCAAGAGTGTGCATCAAAAAGAGCAAAGAGATGATAAAGTCTTGGAGTTTAATGCAAATTTGTTTTGCTTTGTAACGGACAATGTTGTACCTTAAATTGTTCCAAGTCATTGCAACATTGCTTTTTGTTTTATTTGTTTCCATAATTCTGCTTCTCTCCACCAATTCATCTGTTGCAAAGTTCTCATGCAGGAAATGATTGGTTGAATTCTCTAACATTCCATTGCTTTATGATTCTGCTTATTTATGTCATTAGTACCACTGTGCATAAACAACTTCTGTTTCTCAACTATGCTCAGATATTGCAGTCATTTACTGGGGTTGTTTCTGGAGAGATTGTAGTTTTCAATATTTCTTGGTGGTTACTGGCTGGTCTTGATTTGACACTGATTGAATCTTTCGTTGTTTCTCTTGAATAGTAAAATATCATTTTTGTAAGTTATTATGAGCATGTCCACACTATACGGATGGTTTTTTTCCTATTGACTTGTGGTAATTATCCAGATCCTTTATTAGGTCATCTGTAACATTATGCTTCTAAGGACTGTCAAAGTGTCAAAAAGTATCATATTTGGTTTCATTTCATCTAATCAAGGTCTGTACTATTCCTTGAGTGCTTGCTGATATTTTTTTTCCTTTTGGTGTAGCATGTCCTCTGCTTAAAAAAGTGCCTAATGTTTTGGTCATCCATGGAGAGAGTGATGGCATACTGGAGTACATGAAGGTTTACGAAATTGGCAGTTTCACCATTTTCTGCTCTTGAATCGTCTTGCATGCAAGCCTTCAATTTTATTTGCTGATCATTTTTTCAGAGAAAAAAGCCTGCAAGTTGGATCCTTCACAAACCTCCATTACCAATTTCATTTGGAACACATCATTCCAAAGCTATGCTTCTTGTCTATCCTCAAGGAGTAAGGGTTGTTGTGCATACGGCAAATTTGATACACGTTGATTGGAATAACAAGAGCCAAGGCCTGTGGATGCAAGATTTTCCGTGGAAGGATAATAACGGTGCAAGCAAAGGATGTGGTTTTGAAAGCGATTTAATTGATTATCTGACCATGTTAAAGGTAATAGTGTATGTCTCATACTCCTTCCATACTGAAACTTGATCATCAGAAGATCTCATTTTATTGATCTAGCATCTGATGATTTTATAGAAAGAAACATTACTCTGAAACTTGTCATGGTCGTCTTATTTGTCACTCATGATAGTTGTTTCTCTCCACCTATTCATTCTAATGACAAGCTTGCATATTCTTGTTTACCGTTTGTCTTAGAAGATTCATTTGTTTATCTTGGGCCTTATTGAATATTAAGTTGGAGATTTAAAAATTTTACTGAAAATTCACACTCGACACATATTTTAGTTTTGCAGAATCTCGAGATCAGGTGAGTTGCTCTGGTTTCATATATCCTAAGCTAGTATGATTTTCTGGACATCACGAGACTGGTTTTTTTTAATTGAAGATTGTCACTTCTGATTTTAGAATGTATTACAAAAGTACTCTCGAATCTATATTAACTGCTT